ATGACATTAAAAACTTGTGTATGAGTCTGCTTCAGCAAATCCCTGTATCACAGATTCTGGAGTACAAAAAGATGATTAAGGAGAAGGATTACTTACTGGAGCCAGTTTTGTTTTTTTTTTCAAATGTCTTTTCACATTTTGTTAGGAATTACTAAATTGTTTGAAAAGGTTGGACCAGTTTTTCAATACAGGTTTTGTTAAAGCAGGTGTCTTCCATATGTCTAATTGGTGATGGTGTTTAAAAAAATGCATAATAAAAAAAACAAAAACAAAAACAAATGTATAATAATGCTAACTTTTGGGTTTTCCTTCAGTCTCCTATTGTCTAGCATTGCCCTATCTTGTTTTTCTAATGTCTGTGCTTTTGTATGTGTAATGCACTGGTGTGAGTAAGGGACTGCTATATTTGCTGTTTTATGGACATTTGGTTATGGCACATCTTAGTGCCTTTGTACAGGTTTCCCCCAATCTGGTTTGTGACCTCGCTCCTCCTCTGAAAACCCTTCCCTTCCCATCTCCCTCTCCATTGGGAAGAGTCGACAGAGTAGTTTTTTTATGTCACCTATGCACAGAGTGGTCACTCTGTACTGAAATAACTGGTTTGTTATAGTTTTGCTTCCTTCCTAGATTGAGAAATTTTTGAGAGCAGCCATTGGACTTGGCATAGTGCCAGACACATAATAGATGCTCATTAAATGGGCTTGCCAAAGAGAAGGATCGAGAGAAGAAGGGAACAAAATAGACTTTTAAGAAATCCCTGAAGAATCGGAGCAGAAAGGATCTGAGACATAGGAGATAATGCAGTGGAAGCCAAGGGAGCAGTTTTATTTTTATTATTTTATTTTATTATATTATTTTTTTTTTAGAGAGAGGGAGAGAAGGGGGTAAAGAAAGGGAGAGAGGGAGAGAGAGAGTCTCAAGAAGGCTCCACACCTAGAGCAGAGCCCGAAACAGGGCTGGATCCCATGACCCTGAGATCATGACCTGAATTGAAATCAAGAGTCAGATGCACAACTAATTGAACCACCCAGAAGGAGCAAGAAATTTTAAGAGGGAAAGGCTGGTCATTAGTTTTAAGTGTTATCAAGAACCAATGAAATAAGTATTGAATATCTTCAGAGCATTTTTTAGGAACTGAGAAAAGATTTCTTCAGGCATAATCACATCTTAGATAATACTTCAGGTATTGTTATGAACACCACACAAAGATGTGTTGGCAAAAGAGGTGGCCAGTGACTTCTTGGAGAGATGCAGTGAAGTTGCTTGACTTGGTGATATGCATCATTCTTATGTGCTGTACAATTATTTTTTACTGGTGGCAAACCCCCTGGATAATGGGCCCTCTCAGTTTAAAAACTGAATGAAAGTTCAAAAACAAGAAAAATCTGTAGAATATTCAGTACAGCAGAGTCAGATCAAGATCTGGAAACTGATTTGGTGAATCCTAACAGGCCTAAAATCTTCCTGATGGGTCATTTCTTTGGAAGGTGATGATGAGAAAGATGGTTAGTTGTAAGATTACACAATTCTAAACCTGCAGCTTCTTCACCAGAAAGCAAAATAATTCAGTAACACTATTTAAAACCTACCAAACTTCCCAAAGAAACCATGGCTGCAAAGTGAGGAAATGTCTTTCAATGGAATATTTGAACATTCTAAGACAAGGAAGATAATACCTTACCAGAAAGAATAAAAGGTTCTTGAGATGGAAACATCATTTAATATAAAAGATACAACTTCTGGAAGGATAAGATACTAGAATAATTAAAAAAATATTAATATACTGGATTTTTCCAGAGAATGGAGACCTTTAAAACAATGTTATTACAAAGTGTAGGAATAGAGAATATATATTATATATTTTAAATTACTTAATTATGCTATAAATTTTGAGATTCATCTCATCCCAGTGCCCAATATCATCATTTTTTGGCTGCCTTAAAAAAAAAGAAGGAAAAAGAAAAGAAATTCCACCTTTGGCTATTACTATGAAGCGAGAGGAGGGGTGGACTTAACATTACAATCTCTGAATGTTCTCATGTAGACCAAACCAAGCTACATTTTCTGTGGTTGATTATCATGCATGTTGGCAGCCAATTTAAATATTTTGAAAAGAAAGTTTACTTTTTTCATGTTCACAGATTTAATGCTACTTTTAAATAAATATTGTCCTTTGTTTTCACTGCCCTAAAATGTTAATAATAGCAGATTCGAGCTGTTCTCACTTTTCTCTTGAAGGAAATAGAATCATATCTGTTTATATTCCCTATGAGGGGAGAACAAGTTGGGCAGGAAAGGGATTAATTTGAACATGTCAGGAACGCTCCAGCCCCCTCTTATATCATTTGATTTTTAGAGAATCAGGGGATTAGGGATACCTCCATCATAAGGTAGGGGTTTTTTCCCTAATTATAACTTAAATCTCAGGAAAATACAATACTTTAATTAAGTGCATTATAATTTGAAAAGCCGGAACATGCGTACTTTATTATTAAAGCAAAACTCAGAATTCTTCTGCTCCTTCTGACTTTTTATCTCATAAACCTTACAGACCTACTGACAGCCAATTACGAGGGCTAAGCCAGGGTAGGCCAATTGGACCACTCCTCAATCATATAGTTGATGCAAAAGGAATCTGCTTAAAACCAAGAATCATTTTAGGAAGATAGAGAAAAGACTTTCCAATTCCTTTTAGATTTCAGATAACATTTAATAAAGCCGCATGATTTTGCAGTGTAAAGCACGGACTCGAACAGAAGCATTGGAGTCAGATAAAACCTGTGCTTAATGAAGTCTTAGCTTCCCCAATTCCTAGACATTTGATTCAGTGCCTCAGTTCACTCATCATGGGGTGATTAAGAAGAATCAATGAGATAATGTATATCGAAGGCTTAAGCAAAGAACCTCGCTGGTACTAGCATGCAATAAAGGACAGCTATTATTATACTGCATTTCAGATGCGTCTGTACTTAACTCTATGCTTCCAGCCAGCCCCTTAAAGACAAAGGCAAAATTATATGTGCACACCATGCAGCTGTACCTGTTGCGCGCTGTGTGCAATAACACCCTTTCTCAGAGACTCCATTTCGCCTCACATGCACTCTTCGTTAGGCTCATGATAATACCGCAAATTAGGAAAGAGTAGTCACTGAATAGCTAAAAATTTTAATGGCAGGAAGTTAGGAAAGAATAGTCGCTAAAGAGCTCAAACTGCTGCTTGTCTATTGCTGTATTTCTCCCTGTTACTATCCAATATTTGTGCCCTGAGACTCTACCTTGCTGTGTATTTGAAACTGAAATGCTGGTCTTGAGGCTTTGGAAAATGGTTTTTTTGTTTTGTTTTGTTTTTGTTTTTGTTTTTTTATTAAATCATTATCTCAAAGTTTAAAAATACCTTTTACTTCTTCCCTAGGGGGGAAAAAAAGTGTAGTTCCATTAAGCTGAGGGAGATTCAAGCAGTCTCATGGGCTTTTAAACAGTTTTGTACAAACCACTCATTGTTTTGAAGTTAATGATACATTTCAGCCTGATAAAGTAGTTCTAAGTACTGTGAGGCAGGTCGTATAGGTGTTTCTGAGAATTAGTAAAATAACCTAATAATCTAATATGTAAATACAATTGCCAGGTTATAATTATATGTGTAATTGCTGGATTATAATGGCACCCCTGATCTGGACATCACTGTTTAAAAAAAAATGCTTTTCTCTTTAGAAAATCTGTTGTGGTTTGAAGACCTGTTGTCAAAAGGGCATAAGTAGAGAGAGAAACTTCTCTTAGTATGGAGGTGTATCCTTAACTAGGTAAAGACACCCAAAATCCAAATTCTAACAAATAGTAAAACCTACTTGGCATCTAGGAAACCAAAGAAAAAACAACCCTGAAATCCTCTATAATGTTATGAATCTACTGATTCCTAGCCCTGGGAAGTGAAAAGGAAGATCTTATCTTCTTTATCTTTCGACCCCCATGCAGCCAGACAGAACAGAAGAGAGGTGTGTATGTGGGAGGAGGTAGTGAGGGACGACAGGGGAGATAGACGACATAGAGGACACAGTCCTGGAGCATGGCTGGAAAGGATAAATCAGAAAGTTATGATTTCTCCACAGTCAATTAAAGAAAAGAGCGCAGAACATTTCCACATAAATGGAGCAAGGGGGAAGGGAACAAAGGACGCAAAAAAGCAAATTCCAGAAGAGATAGAAAGAAAATATGTAAGAGTTCAAGCTGGAATCTAGCAAATGCTGGTTTTTCTCAGACCACCAAACCAGCTGACCATTTTAGTTGAAAGCAAGGCAGAGACATGCAAGGATAACATTTACTTTTTATTTGATGAGTGGAGGCCATCATCACTTCTACAGTCATAGTTTGTTTGCTAGACCTCTGACTTTGCAGCCAGACTGCAGAACTTTTAAAGAAGCCATCTGCCAGGTAGAGCACAGGATGGAAGGGCGGGTCGGGGAGCAGTGCTGGGTTCCCGGCACTGCTGCTCTGCTCCATACACACCCACAGCGGGTTCCTTCCTGATCATCACCAACCATCTCTCATCTCCTTGTTGCAGCCAACTTCCACTTGGCCGCCTGCCTAACAAGGAATTTCATAAAGACGGATGTTTGTTCTGTGTATGTGGTTCGAAACAAAAGGGTACGAGAGAATGTAAAAATGTTTTCCCAAAACTTAAAAAAAAAAAAAATCTGTAAGAGTTTGAGAAGCAGTAAGAAAAATAAGACTTGTGATCTGCATGGGTAATTATTTTTAAGTAATAAGTCATGTTTACTTTATGGCATTGGACCAACAGAAATTCCACACAGCCACCTTCACACCACTTTTTATGACCATCTACAGGAGCATGCACTGGTGTGCCGACGTCTGCTCAAATTCCCCGCTCTTCTACACCTAATGATTTTTTGGATCTCTCCTCCCCTGTGCTATTAACTGTTGAAAGGAGGGGCTACTTAGTAATTCTACACCTGTTCACATCCACGCCTTCAACTTGCTAAGCTTCCCAAACAAGTGCAGGGTAAAACAAGAGAACATCTGAATCTGGGGCTGAGGCGGCAGGGACTGCTGCAGGCTTGGGGTTTGGCTTTTTGGATTTTTGTTAAGAGTCTTGAATGTATGTCCTACGATGGCAGTTGATGACAGCAATTTATATTCCAGAACGAAGAACAAACTAAATTCGTCTCAAAATGATTATAAATCATCAAGACGGAGTAGTCTGCCACCTGAACTACTCATAGGAAATGACATTAGAGGAAGACTTCAAAGAAACTTGAAAAATTTGGAACCTATTCACCTGAGGCGCCCGAAAAAGAGACCGTCCATATTTCCAGGTAGGAATTGTTGAAGTTTATGCCTGCCAGTAGAAAAAAAGGACTGTATTTCATTTGTTATGATCAGATGTGTTATATTTAAAATTAACTTGGGACGTTTGAGATCTTAAAGTAGCCAGATAAATATGTTTGAATGTAAAAAATAAAAGTGATTTCCTCAGTCTGAAAGCACCCTCATCTTCTTCCTTTTCTTTCCTTTGTTTATTGTAACATCTTCAAGGATCTGTAGGTTGGCAGCTATTTTATTATTTGTCAGTTGCGGCCGGATCAAGGAACTGCTTTGCTTGCAATCTGGAAGAATTCCATGCTGCATTTCATTCTCTGGCGTATTTTCTTTATTTTGCAAGATTATTGGATTGTTGAGTGAGGCTGATGTTTGTGTGCACCAGAAATTAACACCATTAAATACTCAAATGCATGCTTCAAATTCCTGTCTTGCATCAGAGCCTAAAACCATTTGTAGTAAAGGGCTCAATTAAACAATGTAGATGGTGAACTGTAGTACTGCACAGAAGACCCATGGATTTCAGTCTTGATTAAGGGACTCTGATTTCTGCTTCAGGTGTCCATGCCTGGATATTACAGATGTGTAGACCAGATGAGATGCCTATCACAGTGACCCCTGACTGAGGTATCACTGGAGAGTGATCCCTGAGAATCATGTAGTCGACTGGATTTCAGTCCTATTTGCATTGGACTTTCCTGGAGAAACCAGTAGTGGCCTTTTTGTCGTGATTGATTTATTGGAGTCTTTACGGAGGATAGATTAGACCCAACTGCCAAGGACCAAACCTCTGATGATAGAAAACAAAAAAATAATTCAATCAGGTTTTACTTCATAAAAATGGATTTGACTTGCCAATCAGCTGAGTCATGATCCTGCTTGAAGAAATAGCTAGGAGATGATTTAGTATGGGGACTCAAGGCCACCAGTTGAAAATTACATTTCCTAAGGAAGCTCTTGTTTTCATGAATTTCTTCTTGGTTCAGCGATGGGGCTCTTCATCTTTTTTCTCTGCTGCAGAAAAAAGAGAAGCCCAGACTAGAATGGGTCAGAGGTGCAAGTTTGTGAGTGTGTTGTAGTGCAAAGGAAGGGACAATGTGAAAGATGCTGTAAGGAGGAGCACTCAAGTGTCTGATGTGTCTAGAAAAACAGCTACTTTCTGCCTGTTCTCTTTGATCTGAAGGCAACAAAGAACCCAGGCAGGCCTTATTATCCTGAAGCAGCATGGCAGAGAGCACTTTGTGTTGAGTTGGTTTGCTAGCACTTCTTCAGGAACATTCTCCCAGAGCTGTTCTTCACCTTCAGCTTTTTTTCTCTCTTCCTTTATTCTTTGATTTAACATCACCCACATCCATTTACGTTATGATGCATACTGCCTTCCTCTATTACCACCAGCCCAGCCCCATACTTCTTGAAGGCTTCTCCTTCTTTCCCAGGGCACCTTACCTCCTTTTGCCGTGATTCCCATGTGTCTTCTCTTTCTGTAAGGTCATCTCATTCTGGGCTGTCAGTTACAGCTGCAGCTGTGGTAAGATCTCTTACCTTGGACCTCACACAAGTTATCCTTTCTGAGATCTCGAATTGTCATGATTCACAACAGAGTAGCGTTCTGAAAAGGGCACTACACATAGGGGAGCTGAATTCTAGTCTAGTCTGTGTCCCCAGTGGCTGTCTGTTCTCTGAGCCACCCCACTGACCCCGTGGCCTTCAGGTCGGTTCTTAGTTTCTGCCTCCATTTCCCTCCTTGGGGAACGTGGCAGGAGATGGGCTTCTCATCCTTCCAACTGACAGATGAAAGAGCCTCCTAGGCCAAATTTTGGACAATATTGGCTACTTGATTTCTAAATTCCTCTTTAATCAAACCATGACTCCACTGTCATACAGGCTATACTAACTTCTTTTTGCAGTGGATAACTGTACATCCCACCAAAACTCCTAAGCATCTCTTGAAAACAGAAACGTATAAGGATTGTGATAACTACTGCCATCTTCTACTGCTGTGCAGCCATAACGAGCAGATATGATGTATGTTGGGATCTGAGAGTCAGAGAAACTAAGATGCATCTCAGAATTAACCACTGGCAAAACCAGGCCTCAGATCTGGGTATTTTGATTCCAGTGTTGAAGCTGTTTCTGCCCAATTACACTGCACTCTGTTGTCAACTGTTGTTGCCATTTGTCTGATGAGATTCAAGATTGGAATACATGTCAGCATTCCACTATGCATTTACTCTGACCCTTATGAATGCACAGATGTATATACCCTCCATTTCTAGTCCCATGTGTTCAGCCCTGTGCTACAATGGTTGACTGATTAGTTGATCAATTCATCCATTCATTCATGAAATATTTTTATAGTCCTTACACTGTGTTAGGGATTGACCTTCAAGAATCTAACTATATATTACCCTTCTCTTCTGTGGCCCACTTCTCCTCTAAGGGCCATCTCACACTGCAGAGAGTCATCCACCCAAGATGCAAGTCTGGTTGTTTCATTCCCTTCATTAGAATTCTTCAGTGGTTATCACTATTCTTAGGATAAAGTCCAAAGTCCTTAATATGAAGTATAAGAGACTGCATAATCTGGCCACAGCTTATCTCCTCAGTCTCTCTCTTGGCACACCTTCCCTTTGTATTTCAACCAACACAGCCAATTTCCGACCCCTGTGGCCCATCATGTTTCCTCTTCTAGAATACCCTATCTGCATAGTTTCACCTAATTCCCACCCTGGCTTTAGGTGTCAGTTTAACATGCCTTCTAGGAAGTTTTCCTGCTCTCCATCTGGTTGGTCCACTCTGTGTCCTTCTCCTTCTCATAACGCCTGGACTTTTACCTAGCACAGCACTTATCACATCGTATTGTAATTGTCTGTTTACTTGTCTGTATCTTCTACTAGCCAATGAACCATGGGTCATATCAGTCTCAATCACCACTGTATCCTAGTACCTATCACAATGCCTGGCACATACTATGTGCTCAATAAATATTGATTCAGTGGATTCAAAATGCACTGAACTGAATTAGCTCTTGGCATACCTGGCTTTCTCTGTCTTCTTCCAGACTCTCTTCATGCCATTCTTCCTTACCCCCCACCCCCACTTCCCACTCACACAGTCTTACATTCCTATTATGCCCTTTGTTTCATTCTCCACCTGGGCTTCAAGGCCCAGTTAAAATCTTCTATCTTCTGCAATCAGCTGCTTTTCTTCCTCTGACCTCTTTGATTTCTCCTTTATGCTTACCATTTCCTTGCCCTCAGTACTGCATAATGCAGAAAAAAATGAGTTTTTCCTGGCACTGTGTTCAGTTGTCTTAGGTTGGGAATGGATTCAGTGGTCACTTTGTAACTTAGTGGCAGCTGTTAAATTTTTGTTTGTATAAAAACTCTTTGAAAATAGGGACTGGGGGCACCTGGGTGGCTCAGTGGTTGAATGTCTGCCTTTGGGGTCCTGGGATTGAGTCCCGCACCAGGCTACCTACAGGGAGCCTGCTTTTCCCTCTGTCTGTGTCTCTCATGAGTAAATAAATTAAATATTTAAAAAATAAAAATAAAATAGAGACTGTGTCTCCTATGACCTTGCATGATCCACTTGTCCAGGAGAGGGAATTGCACATATTAGGTGGTTATTCAACATCTGGTGGTTAATTAACTACTTCGCTATGAAACGGGGTCTGTCCTGTAGGGCCTAAGTCTAGCTCCAGGAAAGCACTAGTTGGCAGATAGAAACTATCCCAGGGGATGTTCTATATACTGACTTTCATCATTTTAAGAACTCCTGGTGAGGGAAAACTGCAGGTATCCCTTGTCTCAGTGTGTAATTCATTCAGTGAAACATGTATTAGGATTCTACAAAGGAACTATTCTAGATCTTGAGGAGAGAGCAGAAAATCCTGGTTTCTGGTCTAGGCAGATGTGAAAGAATTTTCCCAGCTGGGTGCCTTGCACATCACACCACTCAGTAAGTGCCTCTGGAATAAAGAGACTCAGAGCACTGAATCTTTAAAAGGAAAGCCAATATATTTTAAGATCATATTTACACAAAAACATTCAATACTAACCACTCTTCTTCCCTTAAAGAAGCCTCAACAATAGAATGCTAGCTAGAGCTGAAGTTCTGCAGTTTCACTGGATTCTCACCAGGCCCAGTGTCAGGAGTGAATGTCTCTAACAAGCCCCAGCCTGGGCTCCCCCTCCTCCTAAAAAAACTCCAGCAGCTCCATAGCACAGTGAAAGAAAGGGAAGAGAGAAAAGTGGTCCTAATATATACTATACCTATAAGCATGTCAGATTAAAATAAGCATCTGAGCCTGCTCCTGGAAGCCAGTGCAGCTCAGGTGCCAGGTGTAATGGGCTGTTCACTTAGCACTCTTAAGCAAACAAGTTGGTTCATATAATCAGCTAGTTCTTAAAATATCTTACTGATTTTTACAATCATCTGTTCTGAAAAGCAAGCACTCATCTGCTTAGAGGAAACAGGCAGCTCAGCATACTTCCTTGTTGCTTAGAGGACAAGTGTGCTGAGGACTGCTCTCGGCCAGAGGAGTAGGGAACTCTGGCCAGCACTCACAAGGCAGATACACCAGCTCATCTGGATTCTCGTTTTTAGCTCTACTCCACTGCAAAGGCATGTTTCCTTCAAATATCCACAATCTACAAAAACAAAAACAAAAACAAAAAAACCTCCTCCAAAATCATATTCATTTTATAACTAAGTAGATTTTGAACATTTCTAAAGTAAAACTGCTTGCTGCGCATAGGTTTCTACTGGAAACACAGGTTAGCCATTAGAACAATGGCACCTAGATGTGCTCCAGCTTCACTTAGGGTGGCCAGAAGGAGACTGTGAGGATGGATAGTTTGATTCAGGTTCCCTACTTGTCATAGGCCTAGCAAAAGACCCTGTAATTAAGCATGCTTCCTTGGGCACCTGGGTGGCTCAGTTGGTTAAGCATCTGCCTTTGGCTTAGGTCATGATCCTGGGGTCCTGGGATAGA